CACACACACAACATAATTATAACTGATTGCATTCATCAGTATCATATAGATAGCTTCACAACAATATTTCCTTTTTTAATTGAAAGTTTTATTCAAATAACGTCAGATAAAAGTACCTTCCCACTTACATGCATAACCATTACTACAGAATCAGAATATGTGTAAAAAAAAAAAAAAAAAGGAAAAACAAGAGCACCCTTTTATAGCAGGAAAGGTTAGAATCAAACAGTTTTAAATTAAAAACTCCCAAAAAAATTAACCACCCTAAAAATGAAAATTAACAGCTACTGAACTTGGATTCAAGACATACAAGAAATGGCTTAAAAAAAAAAAAAAAAAAAAAAAAAAGACGACAATTTGTACCTCGCCTGCCTGTTTTCGATGTTGCTTTTGTGGTAATGAGAGAGAGAGAGTAGACTTGTCAGAGAGTGTTTGATGATACTCTCAAGAGATTCCTTCTGAGAAGTTCATTTGGAAAAAAGGAAGAAAAAAAAATTTTATCAGATAAGACCTCACAGTTTAACTATCATGGCCTGTTTACTTCGCATAAGTCTAAACACATTTGAAGCAGCAAAATGAAAGTCTTTTACAACCACAGGCAGGATTTACATGAAAATTTATTATCCTCAAGCAAGAATTTTTTATTTATTTTTTTTAATGAGATAAAGCAAGTTATTTTTGCCATTCCACAAAAATTTAATCAAACACTTAAAAGCATGTGCGCATTTCAAAACGAACATCATTTTAATTACTAGCCAAGCTTAACAGTTATAAATCTGACTTCAATGAGAAGTCCAATTCTACAGTAGCTTCCTGTTTACAGATTTCTTAGTTTTATTCCAACAATGACAATCATCAAAATTTTGGTGATTGCAAAATATTGTGCAATAAATGTTTTATTTACTTCCTACATAAACAAAATAAAAAAAAAAATCCATCCACTTATTTATATTTATATATATATCTCCAAGTATGTTATAAAATCACTACAAATATAGCCATTTTGTTTCAACACTTCTGGTGTCTTATCAAGTGATGGCGTTGAATGATATAATTTTCGAATAAATAATTATATTTGCTCTACTTTGTATTGAGCACTCTTTTAAGAATAGTATTTTTTTTGATTTTTGGAATTTATTCCGTATACACCAATCCTATACTTAGGTGTGTGTGTATATATATATATATATATATATATATATATATATATATATATAATATTTGTTTTGATTTTAGATTGAGCTCTCTGGATTACATCCTCTTTGGAATCATCCATGCGATTACCAAACCCTTCATTACCTTACTATATATATATATATATATATATATGCAGAAATAGTTTTAAAGTGTGCTATATTTATAGGATAAAGTGCTCAATATCAGTGATAGGGTGTATATAAATATAAAAATGAACACTGAGGTCAACACTCAGAGGTGACAGGTTGTTTCAGGCTAGACGCAATCCTCAGGCCATGAGTGTTGGATTTTTTCCTCAACTATTTATATATAAGTGGTGCATTGTGGGTACTCCATTCTGTTGATTATTTCGACAGGAGTGGGTTGTTTGTTTATTTATTTATTTATTTGGGTTAATTTATTTTGTTTTTTATTTTCATTTCATATATATATCTATTCTTTTCAGTTTTCGATGTTTTATTAATGTAGTAAAAAATGGGAGGGGGGGTTTGGTCGCTTATTTAATAGTTTGTTTTGGTCTGGGAAGATAAAGCTATTTATTTGTTCAATTTTTGAATTGATTGCCAGTCTATTCTGCTATTATGCTGGGGAACAGTTTTTAATTTGTTTATTATTTATTTATTGGATTGATTATTTTTACTTGTTTTTACTTATTTATGTTTATTTTTATTAGTTCTAATGGTTATTTTAGCGGGAACAATTTATTTATTTATTTGGATTAATTTTTACTAAAGAACCCCCCCACCATTTTTTTTTACTACATTAATAAAACATCGAAAACTGAAAAGAATAAATACATATATAAAATAAAAAATGAAAATAAAAACAAAATAAATTAACCCAAATAAACAACCCACTCCTGCCAAAATGAATTACCCACAATGCACCAGACCCATATATATATAAATAGTCGAGAAAAAAATCTAACTCTTGTGGCCTGACTATTGCATCTAGCATGAAACAGCCTGTCGCCTCTGAGTGTTGACTTCAATATTCACTTAGTGCTAACTCTTCTAACAAAGAGCTTTTTAATAAACATAGTGAAATATAGGAATCCTATTCAGTATAACCAAAATAATAAAAAAAAAAAAATCTAGGAAGATCATTGTTTAGCTAGTTCTGTTTTATTTCAGTACTATGTCTACACTGGAAATCCCCAATATTAAAACATTCTACGTTGGATTTACTATGAACACATTCAAAGACCATTGGTGTTGACATGTACAATCCTTCAAGACTTTGTTGTTCAAGTATTTTTGGAGTTTAAAAGAGAAAAACAAAACATCTACTGTTAAATGGAAATTACTTATGAGAGCTAGAGCTTGTAATTCTCTATATGCTCCTTGTTATCTACGCTGTAATGTAAAATTGGAAATCATTAGGTTTAAAGATAAAATCAATCTCTTAAAACAAAGGAATGAACATACTGTTAATTGTAAGCACAGCTCAGAATTTACCTTACAAAATGGTTAGTAATATTTTGACTGACAAGCCAAGGGTATTGTAGGTTTATATTGTTACTTTTATTATTTTTGTGGGTACGTGTGTGTATGTATGTGTTTTCACTTGTGTATATATGCTGGTTTTATCTTGTGTATTACAATTTAACGGGACATTTTAGTATTGTTTTTTTTTTATATACTTATGTGTATTTGTTGGGTCTGTTCATTTGTATGTATGCTTATTACAGTCTTTTTTTCTTGATTTATTCATAGCTGAATATGTTTTTTAATTATACTCTTTTTAACTTTTTTCAATTAAATCCTTTTTCTATTTATATATCTTTGCCCATGTATGTAAAATTTTTGATAGTAGATTTGTCCTTGCTTATTAATACTTTTAAGCTTAAATCTTAGTGTGTGTGTGTGTGTGTGTGTGTGAGATCGCTTGTATATGCTTTCAACTATATGTATATGTGTCTTATTTTGTTTGGCATGATTTTGCGTGGTTATATATTTAAATATATTTATGTCTCAGTGTATTAGGATATGATTGTGTCTACCTTGTCATTTGTATGACTTCCTCCCTTCCCTCCATCATATGTATCCAAACCCTTTCAATTGTATCTAAGGTTGTTAACGATATTTGAACACCTTAATATTAGTGTCGAATTTAACTGACAAGTGAGCTTTTCGATGAAAATAAATAAAAATATATACTCTGCTCCATTCCTTCTTTGAATAATTACATATTTTAAACTTAATGCAGTGTAAATTTAAAATTATAAATGTTATTGTGAAATTATAAATTAGTTATAATGATTTCTAATTTTGTCTAACATGTACATGAAGGCATTAATTAATTATATTTAGGTTTGTTGACAAGTTTTTGAATCATCATATACTTGTCTTTTGATTGGTGATGAGTTTGGTTGGTTTTGAATTATTTAAAACTGATTATACTGAAATCAACACCATCACTTAAGACACCAGAAGTGTTGAAACAAAATGGCTATTTTTGCTGTGATGTTATAACATGCTTATGTTATGATTTTTGAATTATATATAAATATATGATCTCAAAAATAGATGGAAAATACTTAGGAAATAAAAGTGATTTTCACTGTTACAGTGCATTTCATGCATTATTTGATTATAATACACAGGAAAATATCTGAATATGAATGGGTTATGCTAAAAATTAGCAGGTATGATGCTTGTAAGTTATTTAATTAGACATGCCTAAAATATTACACACACACACACATTATATATATATATATATATATATATATGCGAGACAGACTTATAGCACCAAAACATTCAATCCATGACACTACCACAGCACACAGATCCTCCCACCAAAGGAAGGAGGATTATTCAATAAACCAGCCAAGAGACTGCATTTATATTGGCCAACATATCCATGACAACAGCCTTTAACATGTCCTTGGTATCATAGGGCGTGAGGGGGGTTCTTTTGATGATGCCCAGGCACAGTATGCTGAGTTCAAATCAGGTAAACAATGAAACCACATGGTGAAGAGATGTGATCATGAAAATTCTTGGCTGGCCACTCCACATGACTCAAGTGGGAGCAGAATCCCCCACCTCGCCCGGCAAAGTAACCTTTTAAACCCAGGGGTTTTTACAAATCTAGCACATAGATTGTTGCAGTGACCAAAGGCCCTATTAAAAGAAGTGGGATCACACATGACCTTTTTTTGTTTTTCTTTAAATAGATATTTAATGCTGAACAAGTACAAAATAGGTTTACACAAGAAAGAGGGGGCAAAGAAAGAGAAAGGAATGAGAGAAAGATTCAAATATGAGAAAGGAAGAAGAATGTAGAGAGGAAAGGATAAAAAGGAAATGAAAGAAGTGATGGTGGAATATACAAACATGATCCACCAACCAACTTGACTACTAGATCACAGTCATCAACTTAAACCCACCTTGATTGAGGTTAGCAGTAGCTTTAAATACCAATGGAGTCAAGTGGCTCCCTGTTGGTGGTCAACTTCAGGATGCAAAGAGAAAGACCCAAAGGAAGCAGTAAAACATTTTTGTTATAACAAATATTTCTTGCAAAGAGGAAAGTAGCACAAATATATAAACAAAAGAAAAAAAAGAAAAAAAACAAAAAAAAAACAAGAAAAGCCAAACATGTCATTATTGAATACATACAAGACAAAAAAAGCAGTCTACACAAAAAGAAAGACTATCTACACATTGCATTCAAGGGTGGGGGAAATTTTAATCCGAAATGGTGCATCATAGGCAGGTGACATTAAGAAGGTCATCAAAGTGAGGGGGAGGGGAGAGAAAACAAAGACAAAGGATGCAGATGAGTTATGTACGTACCTCTGGGTGAAATTGTTGCTCGGTTCTTGTGTGACAGTAGGCACAATTGTCCCCGCTCTCACACTGAGCAGGGTCCCCCCAGTCATCACCATGTTTTACGTTAGGACATGGCGTTGACCTACAAAGTAAACAGGTGCCAACTAAGAACTCCTCAAAAATGAAAAAATAAATAAATAATAATAAAAAATCAGTTAAGCCAAAGAAATATGAGCATCAACTCAATGTGCAAATATGCCAACATCTTCATCATCCCCTACCCAGAGAGACCAGGGATGCGTTCGATTCAGATTTCCTTTTTCTTAAGATAAAGAAATTTGAATATTAAAAAAAATAAATAAAAACTTTATCTTTAATTCAAAAAGAAAAATTAGAGGAAGAAGAAAAATTAGAGAAGGCAAAAGAGAAAAGAAAAAAGAAAAGAGAAAAGAAAAAAGAGAAAAAAAAATATACAAATTTGAAATTCTTCATAATTAGGCAAAAGCTGCTTAAAATAAGTTTTTTTTTTTTTAATTTTTACATTTATTTAATCCAAAACTTCAAGAAAGCAACCATTTCAATTCAAAACAAATATTTTTTTCTCAGATTTAAAAAAATGGGCTTGTTTCAAGAATATTGGCTGAATGGTCAAAGAATTTGCAACTGCAATAGAATTATGGCAGTATCAGCCTTCTGAGGCAATACACCTCAGCCTTTTCATGGGCATGTTTTAAGATACTTTCATCAGCCCTGCTTGCAGCTGAAAAACAATATCCAAGAAAATAGTGTGGAATCTTTGAGCTGGAAAAATGGTTTGCTCTTTCAACTGAAAGAAAGAAAAAAAAAAAAAAAAAAAAAAAAAAAAAAAAAAAAAAAAAAAGAAAAGAAAAAAAAGAAAAGAAAAAAGCATTTTTATCTCTCTTTCACACTGTGTATGAGTCTGCATATTTTAAATGTATGTACTTACTAAATATTTGATTACAAAATAAATGTAGTAATACTTTAGCATGTTGAACATTATTCCAAGTATTTTTGAAAAAAATAGAAAAAGAAAGAAAAAAATAGAAAAGAAGGAAAAACTAAAAGGAGGGAAAAAAAAAAAAAAAAAAAAAAAAGGGGAAAGGGTTTTGCAATGTTGATAAATAAATCCCAATCCCACTTTTTACTGCCAAATAAATCACTATGGTATGTTTGTTTGTTTGTTGCAGTCAAACCTGTTAATAAATTAAGATTTAAACATCAAAATAAAGAAAGTTTTTAAGGGAAGATGGAGAAGAGGAGGCAACAGTGATGCTGCTCTTCCAAGAGCTGACCTCATCACTATTGCCTTCATAAGATTACATCAACAGAGTTACCAACAATGTATGTCAAGCAGGGAAGAAATCATTCTTGACTTCAGTAACATAAAAGATATCCAAGTTGTCTTGTTAACCCAATAACTGTTAGTATTTGGGAATTTCTGCCACAGTTAATTCACTAAACGAATTTAATAAAAAATATCAGAAAAGTAAACAGTGTGTGTGTGTGGAGGGGGGGGGGGCTAAGTGAGATCCTTATATTAATGTGCTACAATGCTTTCTGCGTATTAAAAGGAGTGCTGTAATTATTCAAGCCCTTTTTTTTTATCTCAAGAAATAGATCATGTACTACATTCTATGCAAATATAGCATACCAATCAATACTACAGTTTATGCCTTTGGTGATCGGATTCCTATTGAACATAAAAGTATTGGGCGTTATAAAATTTGGATATTCTCTTTATTCTAGGGAGAGCGAGGTGGGGGAGAGTGTGAGAGAGAGAAAAAATAAAGACATTTTATACAGCCATTAATATAGTAACAAACCACCAACAGGTAGAATGAGTTATGGGTAAATCCTAAATAATTTAAATTGGGAGAGTTTGACCCCATGATACAGTAAATATTTGTTGAAACAGTTCAATATGAATTGTAAAGCATTAGAAGGTCAGAAGCTCAAATCCCATCACTAACATTAGTATTATTATATAGAAATAAATTCAACTGTTCCAAGAGATTGGAAGAGATACTGGGAAAGAAAAAAAAATTATCTGCACTCTTATGCTATGGTGAAAGTGTGGATAATTTTTGACTTACCCTCATATATTAAAGGGATCTGTGAAGTTCTAGGCTTAATCTATTTCCCAAAATCTGATAATTTTTTTTTGTTTTTGAGAAGAGTTTGTTCTGTGCAAGTACTTTCCAGCACCTCTTCACATATAAAAATGGTGTGCATTCTAACAAGGTATTAAATTTTTTATTTTTTTATGAACACTTTTTTTTTGTAATGTCAATGAACATTTTTTTTTTAATGTCAATGAACACTCGTTTTGTAATGTCAATGAACACTTTGTAATGTCAATGAACACTCCACTTTTGTAATGTCAATTTTGTAATGTCAATGAACACTTTTGTAATGTCAATGAACACTGCTGCCACTTTTGTAATGTCAATGAACACTCGTTGCCACAATGAACACTTTTTTGTAATGTCAATGAACACTGTCAATTTGAACACTCGTTGCCACTTTTGTAATGTCAATGAACACTTTGCCACTTTGTAATGTCAATGAACACTTTTGTAATGTCAATGAACACTTTTTTGTAATGTCAATGAACACTCGTAATGTCAATGAACACACTTTTGTAATGTCAATGAACACTCAATGAACACTCGTTGCCACTTTTGTAATGTCAATGAACACTCGTTGCCACTTTTGTAATGTCAATGAACACTCGTTGCCACTTTTGTAATGTCAATGAACACTCGTTGCCACTTTTGTAATGTCAATGACACTTTTTTGTTTTGTAATGTCAATGAACACTCGTTGCCACTTTTGTAATGTCAATGAACACTCGTTGCCACTTTTGTAATGTCAATGAACACTCGTTGCCACTTTTGTAATGCTTGTTGTAGTAGAGACTTTGCAATCGCAGATACAACTATAGTGACGCTGTTGAACAATACTGGTGTCAAATGACTTCGAATAACACTGAATAGTGATCACTTAGATGCCAATTCCCATATATACATTTCCTTTACAATCACATAATCTACTTATTCAAAATGGGATCGCCTGTGTTTGCTCTCTGGTGATCTGTGTTCAAACTCCAGTGTCAGCAGTGACACTTTATTCCTCTACAACAAAAAAGTACTTTCATGATGTGGGTGATCATGGATCTCCTCCACAATTTTCTCACCCTTATTGCTAAAATTAACTCTTGCCATTTTCCAACTCCTCTTTTATCCTCATATTCTTTGCTTGATTTGTTATCCATGCTTGTCTCCCAAAATTCTCTTGAAGAGAATCCAGACGTTTTCTCGGAGAGGTATCACCAAGGGGAACCCAGGCATAGAATATTACACCCCCCACCACCACTATATTCATCAAAAGTATCAGACAGCCAAATTTGGTTAAGTCAACAAAGATACTGTCTATATTTCTGAGATGAGGTATTATGTACAGTATTTACATTAGTCGGACTATTGTCCTCATCTTTAGGTGCCATATTTGTCACAACATTTTTGACCGTTGTACACTCCGGCCTTCTTCAGGTGGTTGGAATTTCAGAACTGAACCCTTTATTTTATCACTGGGGTAGACTGTTTTCTAGTTCTTGTCATTTTTGATAGATGTCAGTTATCATCCATCTCCTGACTAATTTTCCTTCGACCCAAAGAAGGTCTCCAATTCCTTAACCAAGGCAGTGGAGAAACTTTCTTTCCACTGTCTTGTCAGAAGATCTAACTGATAACCTTTATCCATCTGTGGCAAAGATAACTGATGGAACTCAAAAATGGCACGCGAAACAGTCTACCCAGTGATCGAAATAAAGGGTCCAGTTCAAGTTCCACCTGAAGAAGGCTGGAGCCAGAGAACGGGCCAAAATGTTGTGACAAATATGGCGACAAAGATGAGGACAATAGTCCAACTAATGTAAATACTCAACAAAGATACTTTTATACTTTTCAAGTTCTCAATATCCTCCCCTTCATAAATTCCCTTTCAAAATTCTTCAACAGGAATTTAGTTGATAGTAAAAGCCAGTATCTTTTGGATACCCCACCACCACACACAGAAAAATGGATTTAGCTGAAAAAAAAAAAAAAAAAAAAAAAAAAAAAAATGTTTTTAGTGATATGAATTTTTTTTTGTGTGTGTGTGTGTGTATTATATATATGTAATTAAATAGTAAAAAATAATAGATACTGAAAAGTGAGAAAGATAAAGTTGCTGATGCTTGCAAAGAATTTTTCAGAATATAAAACTGCATTAAAAAAAAAAAATTCATTTAAATGAACACATGTTAAAATGCCAAGAGAAAGTGTCACAAAATGTATTAAGACATCCTTTATTATTATGGAAATTAGCTTTGTTAGATGAAAGTTAAAAAAAAAAAAAAAAAAAAAAAAACCCAAAAGAATTGTTTGTATTAGAAAGAAAATCTAAGGATTCTTTCCTGTTCAATAGTCCCCCACCAAAAGGAATCGACATTAACAAATTCAAATTCTGACTTTCTAATGTATTTTTAAAACTGGTTTAATAGAGAAGCTTTAAAAATGTCAACTGGAATTAGTGTTGCTCAATCTATTCTAAGATTTTTTAGGGATATGACTTTTTGTAAAATAATTGATTTCCTGTATTATAATTCAAACTTTTGTTAAAAAAATAATGAATGGTTTAATTCAGTTTATACCCCACACCCAACAAAAAATTTCTAAAAATGTTATATAAGTATAGTAGCATTATGACTTTCTGGAGCCTTCTAGAAATTTATGACATACATTTTATGGGGCTATATAATCATGAGTGATTGTTGGGCTGTCATTTAAATAAGGTGAATGGCAAAAGTGTGTTGTGATCAAACTTATATATATATATATATATATATATATATATATATACACACACACACACACTTCTTCCACTGAAAGAAACCAGATCTGGATAAAGAATCTCCTAAGATTTCAAGAAGCATGTTCAACAAACAAAATAACTGTTTCACTAGATGAACAATCAATGGAAAACAAAAGCAGGATACAACTCAAAGTCAAAATTGTTGGCCGCTGTTCCTTGGAGTATCAATCAAAGGAAGGAAAGAGCGTATAAAAGGAAATCGCTAAA